ACCTAGATACGTGCACATTCATAGTAGGGAGCTAACAAATATTAGGCGCACATTCTTATAATTTGGTCTTAAAACTATTTAAAGGATCTTCGAAACTGATTGGCTTTCTTATTCTATTTTTTAAAATCTGTTGCAACTTTTATCTAATAACATCAATATTTCCAGTTTTAAACAATGTAAGCGTTAACTTACAGCGAATTCATTCATTTACTATTTTATTTTGGAAATATTTTCACATAATTTTTAAAATTAGCTTTGCATAAAATATATTTTAGATGAACAGAAATCTCCTAGTAACACACTTTCGCCTTCACATTTAGTATGCAACACAGTAAGATTATCCTTAAACTTATGTTCGCAACGAAATGCTGAAATAAAATCAAATTCAAAATCTTTATTAATTCATTTGCTGAAATTGAAATATCCTTTGGGTAAGGAAGATGTACAACACATAATTTTTGCGATTCAAGTGAGAAGTTAGTTTTGCATTGAATACACTCGTACATTCCTATACATACACACAGTAACTGGTAACTAAAGGAAACAATATAGCAAAAAATTCAAAAAAATTCAAAAAAATCCAAAAAAACCAAAAAAAAAAAAATAAAATAAATTGCAATAAAAAGAACTGCAACAAAAGCAATTTCCATAAATTTTTAAGGATAATGGCTGGAATGAAATTTTAGCAAGTGAGCGACTGTTGCGCACACTTCAAGGCGGCGCTTAAAGCAAATGAAATAAAAAATAATATGAAAAAAAAAAAGAAGAAATGTAAGAACATTCTACAATCAATGTACATACATAAACGTTATAAAAATTCGTTACACTTTGTGATTCAATAAAGTGCTACTGCTATTGTTTTCGTAAGAGTCCTTAATCCTGGAACTGCTGCTCAATGTGTAATAAAATAAACTTGCCTAAGTAAAATGAAACAATACAAACAATTCAGGCGCAACAATGAAACGAATGAAAACAAACGAACAAAATCAAATGAGAGACAAGTTAATCGATGATGATGAATAATTGATTTGATGTGTAATAAAGTGTACACTGCAAAAAAAAAATAATAATAATAAGACTAACATAAAAAGCAAAAACGGAAACGGAAAATGGCAAATAAATTCAGGACACGAATGAGCAATCAGCGACTGCGGATGTCATATGTTACTGAAGATGTTTACTTTGATACTCCAACTAAACCTGAGCACAAACACCTCTAACGACGATGGCGATGGCGATGGCGATGGCGAAGCGATAAAGTGTAAGGATATCACTTGAAAGCATAAAAGGAACTGAAACATTTATGAAAATATTATTATTATTGTTATTATTATTATTTTTATTAAAATAAGTCAAGATATAACAATGAGATATACTTATACATGAATTTTACATGAAAACTTTGCATAAAATGGAATACTCTTATCATACTCAAGGAAATTGAAAGTGACGATATTTAGTGTCCACATTTAAAATTTTTAAGACATGAAAACAAATCATTTCGGATCCTTAAATCGGAAAATCTAAAAACAATCACTGATGATGAGTTCGCAGTGCTTGCCTTGCTATATTATTTGCAGATCGTCGAAGTGTGTTTCCTATCTAGGACTATTCGCGTTTTGTTTTCGAAGTTGTAAGTTGGGGTTAGTTCATCGAATTCTAAGAATTCGATGAAGACACTTCTTGACAAAGAAGTTGCATTTTCTTTAAGCTTTTTTATGTTACGCAAGCGTAGAAAAGTCTGAATTGATATTTGAATTAAACACGCGAAGCTTTGTTTTTAAATAAATTTGATTGTAGCTCCATATCTTAGACAGTTGAGTAAAAGCTAGCTTTGATAATGCGATTCTCGAACTCTTCGTCAATGTCAGAGAAGAGATTTTTTTGATATAGCGGACTTTATAGAGTACTATATCTGTGATAAGGAAGTAGAAATTATGAAAAATATAATTAAAATTAACAGCGACCTATTAAGGAAAAAGTTGTGAGAAGCTTACAGGGCTACCCCAACTATTGTGAAAATCTTCGTCAGCGTCAGATAAGAGATCTCTCTAATATACTCCAGAGAGACTCCATTGAGTACTATATCTGTGATAAGGAAGTAGAATACATAACAAATACTGTGGAATTATTATTAAAATACACAGCGACCTATTAAGAAGTTCTAAGGAGAAAAAGTTGTGATAAGTTTACTGGGCCACCACAAGTATTGTGAAAATCTTTTTCACCGTCAGAGAAGAGATCTCTCTAACAACTCCATAAAGACTTCATAGAGTACTATATCTGTGATAGGAAAGTAGAATAGACAATAAATTATGAGGTGTTATTAAAATAGACAGCGACCTATTAAGGAAGTCTAAAGAAAAAAATTTGTGAAAAGCTTACTGGTCTACCACAAGTATTTATCAAGTCTTTACACTTAAATATTAAATGTTATTGTAGTTATCATTGCTAATTACCGGTTGCAGAACTGTTTTTCAATATAGCATTTTAAGTCTTATTTAAGGGATCTAAATGGTCTTAAACCGTTCGAATTTTATAAGGTAACACAATTAGGCAATATAGAACAATATAATACTAAAATATCAACAAATATAAAGCGTATAAGTTGCTTAGGGCAGATGAGTAGATCGAGTAACTTAACGTGGGATTCATTCTGTTTCCAAAATATGTTCTTTAATTGAACATATCCGAATGTAGTATATCAGATTACTTGTCTTATATGAGTAATAAAGCTATGGTTAGGATATTATGTTGTTTTGAAATGAGATATTCAAATAGAAACCTTCTTATCATGAATAAATTACATTTATAAGCAATTGTTAATTAATTTCTCAATGGTATTAAGCATCTACGATTTTAAATTAATTTTGTTTAATTTTATTAGAACATTATTAAGTTTTAAAATATCTAAGAAAAATAAGATGTTTATAAAAATCAATTGATGTTTGGATTATACATTGGTGTATTGTATTATGAAATCTTTACAGACGATTACCAACTCATCTATATTTAAAATAATAATATATTAATTATTTAATGTTTAAAATAATTTCGACATTTATTTATTTTGAAATTTACTTGGAACTTTGAAATCATTTGGGGACTTGCAATTTATTTTTAATTTATAGAAAAGTGATACACTCTATGCAGATACAGATTTTGTACAAATAATTTTTTTTAAATGTATTTCAAATATTTTATAGCAAAGATCTCTTTATTTGAACTCAGGAACAGATCGGATTAGTCAGTATGAATTTCTGTATTTTGCATTGTTAATTATAAATTAAATGTTGAATACTTGTAATTCGAAATAAAATCATTTCAAGTAAGAAGAATTTATTTTTAGGCGAAGGCAAATGCGCAATCGTTTGAAGGAATGTCGGAGAAGAACATTATTCAAATCACTTCAGGCGACTTAGCAAAGTAGCATATCAAGGCATACAAAATTTAGCACACAAATTTAAATAAATATATTAACACTAAATTGTATCCCTCGAAAATAATTGAAAATAATTAAGTTAAGCAAAGAACCGAAGAACGAGACAATTGTTTGAATTCGTAAGATATTTTATCTCTTTAATTGAATTATATACGATAAAAGAAAAATTTATTTTAAGTCCAATGCGCCATTTTTACTGCACATTTTTCAATTTGCCAATGCATTTATTATGAACGAACAATACATATTTATATATGCATATACTTATATATATGGTATATTAAAGTGTATATATATTTCAAGATATTTGAGAATTTCGCAATGCAAAACTATGAAACTGTTTTCATTAGTACCTATTTCATCAATAATGGAAAACATATTTTTCTTTTTCTTTTCTGTTTCTCAAACATTTGTCTTAAAAAGGCTCTAATAAATCCTAGATCCTTCAGTATTACACACTAATCTATCTTACTCATAGGTCAAACTCAACATTCGTTTTCCATTAATGTGCATATCTTCTTATTAAATGCCAAAATTAGGATCTTATGCAGTGACTAAAATTAGAGACAAATACAACATTCAGAATTTATATTAAATCTTCAGTATTTACTAGGCATTGTTCCATTGATAAACAATGCGTAATATGGACAATGCTTTATAAATAGATATAGATAGATAGATAGATATATAGATAGGCCTTCAAGAATAAACAATTCTGGTATATCATAGGTGAAAGTTTGAGTTTATTGAGCATTATTTTAATATACGAAGAAATAATATCAATCTTATTATATAAAAATTTAAATATATATATGAAAGAAAACATCAAATTCTACAATAGTCTATGATTGAAATTATAGCGTAATTTGATAGATTAGTGGACACCTCTGATATCATTAGGAGCTTTAATTAAACTATCAACCCTAGGGAGATTTGGGTTGTTATTTAGAAAGACAAATCGCTAATACAGTAAATAAAAAATGTTTAACGAACTATTTAAAAATATTTTAACATAACCTAACGAAAAACCAACAAAAAATAAGATTTATTTACATTAAACACCGGAAAATGAATGGACACATATAGTATAGAAAGACAATATTAGTTTTATATAAATAACTTAATATGGAACTAAACTAAATAATGAAAACATAAGCAGATGCCCAGAAATTGTACATTTGACCATTAGCTGTTATTATAAACCCCAAAAACAAGGGCGACTAAGCTTATATCTCGATTTGCAGATAAGTAAATAGACACGTATAGTTGGCAGTCTTCATTATTTGGAAACCGACACACTTAGTTCGAATTGACACTTTAGTGTAACTGACACATCAGTTACTCCCAGTAAAGCCACTTATTAATTAAAAACACTCGTTGAATAATGCTATTCATAAAATCCTATATTATTTTAATTTAATTTTTATAAAATTTGTTTTGAAATAAATGAAACAAATTTACTTTTTTTTTGATCAATTTACCTAGGATAATAGATTTTTATTTAAAAATAATTATTAGCATTTGAAAAAAAATCAAAAAAACAATTTTTTTTCTGTAAGAAAAACAGTCAATTTTTATTCTATATTCAAAATTCATTCGTTTTTTAAAAATGCCGGAAGCGATATGGAAGATGGCTGCTAGGGACTTTATTGAACAGTGTCCAAATAGAGTATATCTTGTTTTTATATGTTTGTGCTTAATAGTATTATTACTCATTTATGTGGGTTACCACAAGATCGTATCACCAATTGTAAGTAAATATTGTTTGTATTACATTAATTTAATTAAATTAAACTTTGTGAACTTAAATTAATACTTCTAATTTTCTTCTGTCCTTTTTTTTTCAATAGTTCAAATCGTTTTTTAACTCTACTCGTCGCATTGATTAGAGTACAATATCAGATTTGTATCTAAAAAATAGTGTCGTTCTTGATAGAAATAAATTGATTCGATTCCCTAATGGTAAGTTCATTAGCTCAGTCTTAATTTAATACTTAATAACGTAGATGTTTGTGTAATATTGTCTTAAAAAACTTTTACCACTCAAATTTTCAAAAGAAGCTAAGAGTCCCGAATACCCATATACTTACTAACGCACAAGATGATTGGCGTGATTGGTGTAAACAACATGAAGCCGACTGTAGACCTATTAGTGTCTTCACTCTGTGTACACCTTCAACTGTTCAATATTGGTATACTGTAAGTGGAAGCATCATTTTTGAAATCAAAATCCATCTCGGGATATCTATCTTCAAGGGATACGGAATTATTTTAAGCTTAAAGTCATCTTAATCTATATTGAAGCTTGGCACAAAAATTTTTTTTGTAAGTTCGAAACAAGTTTATAGATATTGTCGGATATTCGATTTATTTTTGATTTCTATTTAAGATTTGGGATCATCTAAGATACAAAACTATATAGAATCAGGAATTAATAATGAATTCTCAATTGGTAAGTTAATCTAGTAAATATTTTAGTTTAAGGAATAGTAATTTATTATTTTCTTATTTTTAGGAAAAGTAATTGTGATACATATTACGTACAAAACAATACAACCCATCATGTACAGCCACACACTATAGATGAGGACCAATAACCTTTCTTTCAATAACCTTTTTATATAAACATTTAAAAATTAAATAAAATATTCTGATTAAGTTAAACTTTAATTTTATATTTTACTTTTAATATTAATATGTAAATAATATATTGTTTTTAATACATATTAGCAAATCCATTGCAATCAGATCAACAAGATCTGTTATACAATTCGATTTCCTTTTCATTTTTAATATTTTGTTGATATTTCTATCAGGAGTTTATACTTTCTGTATTAAGTTATAAGTAGGCATCAGAAAATAGTTATAAAAATGCTGATAAAAAATTCTTCTGGCATTTTCTCATAAGTTTTGAGATAAATTCTGAAACCCAAATACTAATTTACTTATTTTTTCATCCCTTAATTACTGGAATGCCGTTTTAACAATTTTATTCAATTTGTGGTTTATTGGGTTGAAGTATCACACTGAGTTGTTTCAGCTACTGACCAAAAAAAAAATACACTGTCTGCATGCGTGAGTAAAGTAAAAGGGTTTACTTAGTATATTAAGTTGAAATTTAAATTTAATGAATTCAATTGATATGATATGAATTACGTTTAATTAGAAGTTCATATGCAGTTTGAAATTTTGAATATATAACCTAATTACTTTAGTAAATTATTTGAGAGTTTTTATTTATATCTGCTTTATTTTTTTATTTTTTAGTCCTTGGTATTTCTTTTTATTTTTATAATATTTTTTAAGTGTTATTTCTTATTATAGTATATGTAAGTTTAAAGTAATTAGATAACTAAAAAATATAAATTTTCAAATAAACCACACTAAATTTGTAAAATAATATCTTATAGCAATTTATTAGAAGAGATTAAATTTATATTGACAAATTTTTTAAAAATTTTAGTTCTATTTTAATTCTCAAAATTTATTTATCTCAGACACATTCAGACACGAATGTCCCTTGAAGTTTCTATTGCTTCAGGTCGACAGTATTTAGTATCTTAATTATTAAAGTGGAAGTATGTTTTAGCAGAAGTGTCTCAAATATACAACTTATATATACCATATATTAAATTCTGATTTGCCAAAATAGCACAAAACAGAAACTTAATTTTAATTTGAGACTGAAAAAATGGAAATTAAAATTAAAATAATTTTTTCGTCTATTTGCAGTTTGAGTTTGCAAATGAAGTGTCATTTGGTTAACAGAGCTGAATTGACAGAAAAGGCTGCCGGGCAAAGAAAAAAATTCAGAGACATAACAGAATCAAGCAACCCATTAGATTCGATCTTCTTTCGTATGTGTTGCGGAACAGCAGACATAGAACTCTGAAAACATTAAAATTAGCACATACAAAAAATGTTCATCTATTTTTTTCTTATATTCCATTTACTTATTTTTATAGGATTTTTTCATTGCACAAATCATTGCATATCTTAATAAAGTTCTTGTTTTCACGGGAAGCATTTTTAATCTATTTTAGACAACAATGCATTTAAGCAGTAAAAATCGTAAAAATAAAACAAAAAAAAAACTATTGGAAAAAATATCAAAGAACTATCCACCAATAATGAAAACATAAATCTAAATTAAAATTTCCCACTAAAAGTTCCATAAAAATTGTAAAACCATAGGAATTTAAGAAACAATATAATCGTTAGATAAAAGTTAGCTTCATATAACTTCAGAAATATTTGTAATAAAGCCAATAACATAATCTGAGAAATATACTATGTATAATATCATCTCTTGCGAAATAAATGGATATTTCAACACTACTCTATTGTCAATAGCTCATCATTATCCATATCTACACAGGCCATGTAGGACCTAAGCTTGTTTTACGACATTCCTCCATTCTTCTTTATTTTTAGCTTTTCTCTTCCAGCTGGTGATATTTATATCTGTCAGATCTTGTCGAACACTGTCACTCCATCTTTTTCTCTGTCTACCTTTTTCTTCTCGCAGTGCTATCTTTACTTTCGAAGATTCAGGCTGCTGCTCTTTCATCTGACATCCATATACTTCAATTGTCCTATATACTTCTATACTTGTGTCACCTTCTATCAGTTGATCGAGTTCATCAATTTATGTGTTATGTGAGGTAGTGTCAATAGATAAAGACTGTATATAGTAAAAAATATTAATATCAAATTAAATGGATCAACAAGCGTTATCCGCATTTATCGATGGCGGTATTGATTATTTAAACAACTCAGTACATGTTGATAGTGTTTCTTGTTTTCCAATAGTACTGCAGTTAAAGTACAGCCTAGTTCTTTCTCTAGTTCTTGTAGTTGCTCATAATAAATCATCATTTCTATACGATATAAATTTATTCAGTAAAATTTTTGTGTAAATTTATCAATTTGTGTAAACTATTCTTCATACAAAATTTGACACTTCATGTACAAAGTAAATAAATTTATACGTTTATGAGGTTTATATGGCATTTATCAGTTTAGATGAGTACTCCTACTAGGGGGTATGTCTTTAGATATAAAATCTTGTTATAAGATTGGGATATCAAAAAAAAGTTTCGGAAATAAATATTTAGCAAACATATCGAGAAGGTCGAAATCGAGAATACTTAATCGTGTCATGGAAGCAAACCTGAAGTAAGAGTACCTGTTAGACCTTAAACATTGTTGCAGCTTAGGAATGGACCAGAAATTTGGAATATGTTATCTAAAAGAATACATTACCCAATATATATTTTGAAAAGAGGATCAATGTGGTAATGCCCTTTCGTCGAGTTGTGATACTTTGATGACAAAAGAGCATTAGTATATAAATAGATATTTGGTAGCTGTATGCAGAAATTGAAACTAGTGTCCCGATTTGATTATTGTTTTTTTTTTAGTAAGTGATTTAGTAAATCATAGTTGTTTTATTTGAAAGACCTTTTTTGCTTTCACATATGGCCAACCCAGGTTTCTGGCTAATCCCATGGTATTCAAAGGTAACGTTTGAAAAGAAAGTTTTTGACAATACAAAAAGCTGAGAAAAAATAATATATGAAATAAGATTGGCGCAGAACAGTCGAAAATAGAAGAAATTTTTTGACAACAACGTTCACACACGTTGCAATGGCAAAGAAGTTTGGATAAAGCAGAAGAAATTAAATGTATTCATTTCATTATTAGTTATACTGTAATAATAATAATAATAATAAAAATAATTTAAAGACAATAGACGAAAGAAAATGCAAAAATTTCAATACGAAATATTATTTTAATTAGTTTCGAAAGATAAAAACTCAATACCATGCAAGTCAAATATATAAATAACTTTTTTTTTTGTAAATTTTCAAGCAGGAAAAAGCTATTAAAACTGAGGTAATCCTTATGACAGGACTTGCAATTAATGAATTGCAAGCAAAAAATGAGTAAAATTTATTTTCATAGAAAATCGTTTGAGTTTAAAAAAGCGTTGATTTATTCGTATAAAATTCATACAATTTTAAGTATATATATATATATATATATATATATATATGTGTGTGTGTTATAAGTACTCCAAAATAGTATACATAATATAAAATTTCGCAAAACAATTAATCAAGTAAGTTTTTATTCCCATTATTAGAGTATCAAAACGTCGGAGATTATTGCATTTCTGAAAGGATAAAAAATAGTTTCATTTTTTTCTTAATGAAATTTTTGATTAAGTATGTATATAGTATTGTAACATTGACAACAACATGTTGACAATTCATTTACATACATTCGATTATATATATTTGTTTAAATTTATTTTTAAATCAAAGTTAAAATTAGTTTCTTAAATAATTTAATTGTTTTGCGACTAATGAAATTCTTATGCATTGAGACACATGTCAGTATCTTTTTGGTTCTCGAAAAGTGTTTAGAGTGAGCAAGAAGAACAGTAGTGCACTTGCCAAAAATGTATCTCAACACAGTATATATTTCTGACAAATATTGTTTGTACACTATCATTGGTTAATACTGTGAGTTCCGTGGGTGTCAAGAAAAAGCGAATGAAAAATTATTGAATTAAATTTCATTTCGCATTGTCAAAGGTGTGGCCAACATGTCTTAAAGTATTCTTAAAAATCTTGTGACTTCTGTCTTAAATCTTAATAATTAGATATATTAGAGTGTAAATATATTAAATGTGTTTCTAAATATTTGAATAATTACATGAAACATTACAAATGTATTTATTCGGGTTTCTTAAAATGTGCGCTATGTCATCTCAACAATATAGTTTTAGAATAAGGATTTAGGCCTGCTTTAGAACATAGTATTGTTACTATAAAGGATATTATGCAATTGATAAACGTTTTAATACTTCAGTATATCGTATACTACTAGTTATGAGTTATACTGGTTTATAATAAGATCTTACAATAGCCTTTGATTCAAGATTTCAGATCAAGATTAAGAGTTATCGCCATACAAATAACTCTTCGAATTAAATCTTCTCCTAAACTGCTAAATTGACCTAAATGAAATTTATACTACCTAATTACCATAAAGAAGTGGAACATAACCTTTAATAATTTTAATTTAGGATCAATCTTTAGGTCTCTCATCTTACAACAAAATGTTAAAAATTAATTTTTATCGAATTTGACACATTCAAACGACTTTATACAATGCTTCAGTTGATATATAATTAAAATTCTTACTTTAAAAGCTCTCATATAAAGAGATGTCACATCAGAAGCCGGTAAGTTAATTAAAAATCACATTACATTTTCATATATCATGATATTGTAAACTATTGAATTGAATTTTTAAATTCGTTAAATATATCAGGGTTTCCTTTGCATAAATTGTTCTTTAAAGTAGATTGCAAATATTTTTTTTTAAAACATTAATTTACGTCAACTTTGTAATGAAACTATATATGCTATCAAAAGATTGATGCCATTTCTTGTTAAAACGACAATTCTAAATGAAGTTTAGTAAGGAGGTGCTATTCTGATACCAAGCATCCCTACTATTAGACTAGAATATAAACCCTCTCATTCGATGTCTGAAACTAATTTTTCTTAATCTAATTTACTTAATAATTTTACTTAATTTAATTTTACTTAATTTAATTTTATTTAATTTTACTTAGCTCTGTTATACTAGTATGC